TGCCATTGTCGATGTCATGACAGCAGGCTTCTTCGTTTGGGATCAAAACACGTTGAGCGTGCTTGGCAAGCGCTACCATGTGAGGGACACTTCCTTCGCCACAACGGCAATAATGACTTTGCTTTGGCATGCCTGGGACACGAGCGACCTAGAACCACGCAGATCTGCAATCGACATTGAATCAGAATGCACAATTTTTGGCCAATCTTAGGCAATTTCAAGGGGGCCCCAGAAGTAATGGGGATAATTTTTTCACAAAAATTGGTAGTTGAGGGTTTTGGGACCCAATCTTTCGATTCAGACCCTTTTCGCTGTGTTTAAGGCTTTCTTTGTAACGATTTTTGTTTTCAAATAGAGGACATTTAATCTGCGACAGAGGAAGTATCACAATTCACTACACGAGAGGAGACTGTTGTGTGGCAACGAACTATGTGTCAAGCTGATCAGGAAATACCTTTGCACTCCTATTGCAGTGCCAGTGCTATCAGACTATGGAAGATTGCTAGACTGTGCTTGATGTTGCCTGTGGGGTTCAACCGGTCAGGCTGAGTGTGCGCAGCTTCACAAATGCACATTTTCTGCCAGTCGAATGCACAATATGCCCTGTGTACATCGCGTGGAGTGTCGGAATGTGAGGCTGATGTGGGCATCTTGTGGGCTCTGACTGATCCCTTCTCATCTGACTTGTCTTCCATCTTGTTGTGGAGGACGGAGAGCGATGCTGCCAGTGACCAAAGTGGAGATGACCCAGACTTGAAAAGCAGCAGCTTGAGCGCACCTGCAGATCAGCCTGAGGTGGGCAAGAATGACAACGCTGGACCTTCTTTGGCATCTTCAAAAGGCAGTGATGACATGGACAAGGAGGTGAGGCATGGGCGAATGAATGCTTTGTTAGCAGAAAGAGCCCACTGCCAATTGCCCCTCCCAGCATTTTGTCATGGCTGGACAAAGTCACATGCTGCACAGTGATGAACTGAACATGCAGGAGGTAGGTCCACTAGTACTTAGATAACGTCCTGGCCCAACTTAGCACCTGAAGGTAGACCCCAACCCAATCAGCCAAAGGGAGAGAGAGGGAGCTACAGCTAAAGCAACTGAAGCTGGGACACAAGGTGCCATGCTTGACTGTAGCAAGACAGTGGGTAGAGTAGTTGCATGTACTGAATTGAAGTGTGCAAGGGGTGGTGAGTGCCCATGCTTGTGGATGTGCTGCCGCTCCAGTGGTTTCGCAACATGCAGCAGGTCCTTTAGCCTGTCCTCTGTGGATGAAAATGGGACTTGGCAGGGGTTAAATGCAGCCCAGTTTTTTGGCATTAATGACAAGGCAAAGGGCCCCAAAGCTCCTCAACATATCGACTTCCTTACCTGCATCCCATATCTCTGATGTTTTGGCCTCGGAGCTATGCCATTGAGAGGATGTGTTTCTCGTGGAGTGTTTGGCTGTCGCATGTGTGCTTCATCCTTGGATGTTCATGCAATGCTGCCAGTGCTGTGGTGCACCATTGTAGCCATATAACCATTGCAGTCCTGTCAAGCTGGACAATTTGTTGATCGCCAAAATCCTGGATACTCCTTGAATGTTTGCAGCTGGCCAGCTTCATGGAAGAACTGGAGACCAGTGGCCTGCTGGGAGATGAGGAGGATGTTGCCCCTGCTGAGGTTGCAGAAAAAGCTGCCCCTGCAGCAGCTGAAGGTGAGGCTGTTTGCCCTGTTTGCTATGGTTTTGACAGTGTTCATGTTTGCATGCTTCCTGAGCCACTGAGACACTCATCCACCATATCCACAGTGCCAAAAAAGCGTCCCATATTCCTGCTCAGGCAAGGAATTCCCATTGAGCGACACTTTCTTCTTGCCTGCTGCAACAGCCTTCCATTGCGAATGTGCAAACAGTGTGAACTGCTGGAAATGTCGGCAGACAACATTGTTGGACACCATGGCCATATCACACTCCTATCTGGCAGAGCTGTGGTCCTGGTGTTCTTGAGCTGGAGGCAGCAGTTGTTGGTGGCTAGTGTCCAGCGACTGTGCAGGATTGTCGAGGGTCTCCTGAGACAACACTACGCTGATGCTGTAGTCTTCTGCTGAAACTACAGTGTCTTTGAGCAGCTTTAGGGGGAGTGAGGGGATAATGAGCACTAAGAAGATACTGCAAGTTGATGTGACTTGGATGCCTCCTGAGACTGTGCCTCATGATGATGCAGTTGCCGCCGAAACAGGGGACGAGGAACCTTCTTCCACAGGAGCAGGCGAGCAGCGCATAATCGGCAAGGTTGAGGGCACAGAGGACTGGCACAAGGTTCTGGACACCGCCAGCGGAAAAATGTACTACTGGAACCTTGCGACCAATGAGGTGGCATGGGAACCCCCTCCAGAGGCGACTGTTGACCCACCTGACAGACCAGATCGGGAAGTCCTGGGCGAAGCTGGCGTGGCGGAAGATGCCCAAGGGTTGGAGCAGGAGGGTATGGGGACGGGTGCAAACTTAACTGGCGGGGACGCTGAAAATGTGATGGAGGATAATGTGGCTGGCTCAGATGGATCTGGAGAAGCTGGTGGTCAGGATGCCAGCAGCGGATCTGATGGTGCCCGTGGCGAGGGCTGTGACCCGCTGAGTGATGGCCATGGTGACAGTGCCGATGGTGGTGTTGAGGAGGGGGTGGAAGAGGGGGAGGTGAGTGTGGCAGCCCCTTGTGTATCTCCGAGCCAGGAGGTGTGGCAGAGGCTTTCAGATGCTGCCGAGAGGACGAGGCTGGCGGCGGGGGCTGCACTGGATTCTGTCCCTGCGGCTGTGCGCCGGGCCCTGCAGGCTCAAATCCGCTTCGAGGACTACGCATATCTGTCAGGCCAGGTGCAGGCCTGGGCAGGAGGGACGTCTGACGCACTGCAGGCGTTCTGGGCTGTTTACGAGGCGTACCTGGGGGTCTGCAGCGAGAGTGCAGTGGCCCAGAGCTTGCAGGAGGGGCCACAAAAGTCTGCTGCAGCTGGGGAGGAGGGCGGTGAAGGCGTTGAGGATGGCGAGTTGGCAGATCAGGAAAGCATGGAGGTGGATGGTATGGGGCAAGCTGCACAAGTTGAGGAGATGGGTGTCGCAGATGTTGCTGCCGATTCTGTGTACACCGCCTCACATGGATATGAGTGGGGTCAGTATGGTTACCAGTATGCAGGTGATGCTTCGGCATACCACCAGGCGTACTACAGCATTCCTCACCACACTGCAGGCGAGCATGTGGACGCGGGAGATTCGGAGGTGAGCCAAAGTTCCAGAGGAACGAGTTTCAGCAAGGGAGGCCAACAAGCATGAAAGAGAAGCAGGAGAGGATGAGTGCATCAAAACACAGATAAACTGTGCAAGCAGACAAGCAGACAGTGGTAAAGGAAGGAAACATATTGTACACATGACGAACAGGAAATGCAGATCTGAAGCTCATGTCCTTTGTGCTCCTGTATGTCTCAATGTGTCTCTTAGTGCTGGCCAGTGGGTGCTTTATGTTCCAGATCGTAGAACTTCACTCAAGCTTCCAGTCAACAACGCTGTCCATTCCTCTTACCGGTGTCTCCCACTGTTTCTGAAGATTTCATTGCTTGTGTCAACAGAATCCACCCCTGCCTCCTGGTGCTGAAGAGCTGCCACCACTCCCTCCAGAGCCGCATGATGGACCAGAGATGCCACCTGGGGCTGCAGAAGGGAACCTGAAGCCAACTGAGGGAAGTCTGCATGAAGGTGGGAGGATCTTGGATTGCATGCTGGGACTGTCCCTGAAGCTTGCCTTGGAACCTCTGATTGCCAGTTTTTCGTTGACCCAATCCAAAGAATTGTGCATTAGAATCTGGTGGGCTTGCAGCGCCTGCAGCTGTCTTGGAAACCTGACTGTAAAACTGATCGAGCTGTATGGAATGGACAGGACCCCAATGGATGCTGTCTTTTGGATGATGCACTTGTATGTTGCCTAGCCAAGCTGCATGCCCACATTTTCCCTCAAATTTGAAATAACTGCTGTGACTCATCCGCCTGCAGGGCATGCCCCTGGTACAGAAACTGCCACCAGTTCTGACGTCAAGTCCTCCAATTTGCACAACGCCAGTGGCATAGACAGTGGTCCCCTCCCCACAGTTGCCAATGGCCATGACGACGTGGATGCTTCAGCAGTGGGCCGGCCTGAAGCCCAGCACGATGGCAAGCAAGCAGGGCCCTCAATGAGGGAGTACCGTGCAGAACCTGTCCAGTACATAAGCCAGCAGGTGGGCTTGACTGCCAATGCACAAGCTCCCCCAGATTGGTCTTGTTTCCTTTCTTACTTTACTTCATTGTTCCAATGTTTTCATCTCACGCTTTCTTGGCACTCAGAGCTGGCCGTGTCCTTGCTCCCTCCCACCCCATACCCTCACCCCACTCGCCCCACTCGCCCCACCTAAGAACTTACCCCACTTGCCCCATTCCCAGAGGACTATGACAATAAAGAAAACAGCTTACTCTGTGCAACCGTTCTAACAAAGAGATAGCTCCAGGATCCAAAGGTTCTGCTATGTTCCCGAGACAAAACCAAATGCATGTGTTTTGATGATGTTCTGGTTTGGCTCTGCTGTGGTGTAGAAACACACTAATGTCAAGAGGGTAACAGCGAAGCTTGGCTTGGCTTTTTGCATGTATGGGAATGTGATTGCAAATGCCAGGGAACTGGGCAGCTGCACACTGTGATGGGTCCTGGCCCACTTTGCATTCTGTTGGGTGCAAGGATGCTTCTCCAAGACTGTCGTGCGCGAATAATCTCTGGTGGGAAGGCTTGTGCCAATTTCCCACTTTGTGTTGAGAGAGTGCTGTTGTGTTTTGTCAATATCACATCCTCCTTAATAGTAATAGGTAGTGGTCAGTACGCCTTGATCTTTTTTGTTATTGGTGTGCATGAACCCAAACTCTAACCACCACAGGCATCCTGTTTCAGAAAAAGTGCAGAGTGTGAACGCAAAGTGCATTCGAATCCTCTAACATGTCTGAGTGCGAGTGCTAGGAAATTGACACTGAGCCTATGCTGTGGGCATCGGTGCCTGGTGAGGGACTGGAAGAGGCCTTGCGCCCCACAAGTGCCAGTGGCAAAAAGAAACGCGGGCTGGACGAGGCGGTGGCGGCTACCGCTGGGAAGAAGAAAAAACTCAAGGCGTCCAAGGCTGTGTCAAAGCTGATGAACAAATGGACAGCTGTGAGGGAGCAGGAGAAGGCAGTTGAAAAGGGAAAGGAAGAGGAGGAGTTCGATCCTGCTGCGCTGGAGAAGAAGAAGCTTCAGCGGATCCAGAAATGGAAAAATGAGCAGCTGCAGTCGGCAGAGTCCCAGGCGAACGCAAATTTTCAGGTCTCTGCCCTTCTGTATGTGGATTGCAGACAACTGGCCCTCATACGCTCGACGCTTCAGTGCCAGCTGTTACAGCTTCTGTATTCCTGCAAACATGCACACTGTGATGCTGGGGGGTGGGTTTTTTTAACCCCATTGTGAGTTCAGTGTAGATCACTAGCACTGGGACGCTGTTTGACCATTTGAGTTCAGCAGAGACACGTGACACAACCAATACGTCGAATTGTCCACGTTGCCTGTAAGGATATTCATTCATTCACTCTGTGAGCCACAGTATTGGTGCACTTAAATGTCCATTTTGTGTGTCCATTCCCACTCAGCGATATGCATTTTCCTTCTGCTCACAGCCTTTGACAGGGGACTGGCGCCAGCGAGTAAAACAGGCAAAAGGGAAGCGACAACAGCAGGAGAAGCATGCGGATAAGCAGGAGGGCGCTGTGAGCGCCACGGCCAATGAAGCGCGCCTGGAGGCACTCTCGAAGGGGCTGAAGCCAGGCTGGATTGCTTGTCTAGACCAGGATTCTGGTGAAGTGTACTACGGAAACATGGAGACGAAGGTGAGGTGGAAGCTACAGCCTGACGGTGGGCTACCTTGGGTGCCTTCTGTGGCAGTCGACTTGGTTGCACATTGGTGGGGCCTCGTCAGTCTCTGTCAGCTAGAGACGCAAATTGGCAATCGGAACTGTCTATTGCACTCCCAAGCGTTGTGTGCTTGGGCACATGGGCGGGTCTTTGGATTGCCCAAATATGTGGTGGGTTGTCATCACTGCTGCATCTGGTAAATTTGATCTTTGTGTGTCCATGTGGAGTATCAACATTCTGTTCTCAAGGCGCTGCTCCCCAGCTCCACATTTCTAAGCTGACTGACTGTTGCCAGCTCTGCTACACATATGCTTGACTGCCAAGCGCAAACTGAACACAGCACAAGACGAGTACCTTGTCGAAATGCGAACAGATCAAGGCGTCGATGGACCTCATGTTGCCTTCTTTTCTTGCCACAAATGGACAGCTCTTGCTGGCCATGCCCATAATGCCTGGTGCTGGGATGCCCATCCAGCTGGCCCCTGATGTGTACTTTTGCGCGGAATGCTGACGCCCCTGTGAAGCGCTGAAACATAGCGGCAGGTGAGCACTATCCTAACTCATGGCGCGCCACACCGCCCGCCGCCCCATTCTGTGTCTGTGTATGTGCGCGAGTTTGTTCGTGGGCCCCCTCTCTGCAGGACTCGAGTCCCCGCTCGATGCGGGTCCGACAGCCCCCCCTCCAGGCAGCCCCAGCCACGAGGTAAGTCGCGCAGGTGGCAAATAGGCACAGGGACAGGCCCATGAAAGGGGGGCAAACGCGCGGCCGGTCGATCGCCAATGTGAATCCAAGGTGCAGGTGAGCCAACGCCAGTGGGCATGTGGACTAGGGGCCGGCCAACGAACTGTGGACTGGCTTGCCCCCGTGTCTCTACACATAATGTACACCCTAAAGCCACGACTAAAGTGAAATGGCGTCTTGGAGATGGCGGTAGGAGCCTGTTGTGCTGTGTGTTGGCCAGCGGCTGACTTGTTGCGGCTTGGCTTGCACAGGAGACGTCATGGACCAGGCCGGAGTCGTGAGCTACCACGAGCGGCGCCTTGAAACTAGGGAGAGGGGTTTTGGGGATTGGTTGTGTGCGGGCTGGCGGGATTTGTAAACGGGTGGATTTAATCGACCAAGCAAGCAATTCTTGATGCCACAGACCTGTGTTTGTGTTTGGCTTAGACCTTTCCTCACGAGCGGTTCTTGCAGTGCCCTCTTCGAGATGATGGTTGCCCTGTTGTCGGCCCCACAAGGCCGTTTTTGCATGCCAGGGACAGCCTCACCCTGTGGAATGGTCGGACGTGGGAGTCTTCAAGGCCATGCGTTGGCGCCAAGATGAAGTCAAAGCGTCCAGCTCGTTTAAAGATTAAATGTGGACAAATGTTCACAGAAGCAGCCACCTCCAGCAAAATTTTACGGTACCCAGGCAGGGGCGCTCTAACTGCCGGGGGAATTTGGGGGGCGCACCACAGCCCATCCCACATGGCATGTACACACAGATGGGTCAACGCTGGAACTCAGCAGCCGGCAAATCTCCACACGGCGACCACCTAAACTTGCAGCTCCCTCGAAGTATTAGTAAACAACAACCCTGACTTCTACACTCCAACACGCTTCATGTGCAGTCGCCCTCATTCCACCCTCCTGGACAACTTCCATGAAGACCATTCTTATGACCGCATTCTTATGATCGCACCGTTCGCGCCGCGTGCTGCAAAGGCGGGCGCCAGACTAGTCGCATTCCCGGCAGCGGCGATGGCACGAGCAAATGTCATTCGAACGTCTCTTGACGCCACATCTCACTTCGCCATTTCCCGTCACCAAAAAGGGTGGCCGCCAAGCAGGGCGGCCCCACTCGGTCAAGTGCAAACATTCAACTGACCCACACATGCATCCGACCCTCAGTCAAGTGCGCACATTCAACTACAGGCGCGCCAGTGGCAACATCCCCCAAATAAATACAAGGACAGGGGGCGAGGAGGTAAAAACAAATACACACAAGGAGCGGGGCGGTCCCCCGGGGCCCAGCTCCCCGCCCAGCCCACCGGGAGGGTGCCCACGCCTACGCCAAGTGAAACATTTCCCAAAAACCCCAAACCCCTACCCAATATGACCTGGCACTTCATGAACGAAATAGCCAAGTCTGAAGCGTCCCATCGCAGCAGGGCCCCAAGCACCACAACAAGATGTACTGCGCATGGCTCGCACACCCGCCAAGCACCCAAGCAGACCAGATGTACTGTGCAAGCACCAGTCCACCCCAAAAATGCGTGACAAGCAAACCAGAAGGTACTGAGGCCACCTCGCGCGGTACACCCCCACTACACATCCCACCCCCCGGGCTACCACAACCTGTTCTCCACGGCCTTGGTAGCGTTGGCCTTGATCGACTTGATCTCCGCCCACCTGCGCCTCTCCTCCTGCTTGCGCTCTGCCTTGCGCCGCGCCACCTCCCTCTCCTTCTCCACGCGCAGGCGTTCTATCTCGTCGGCCAGCGCCTTTTCGTCCTTCCCCCGCGCCCTAGCCACGCGCTCCTTAAGCATCTTCGTCCCGGCCTTCCTGGCCTCATCCTCGCGCCGTTTGCGCTCGAGCCGCTCGTGCTCCTTCTCGGCCCGCGGGCCCTCAGTTTCATCCTCGTTCACCACGGCCTTGGCGGCGTTGGTCTTGATCGACTGGATCTCGGACCTCCGCCGGCGCTCCATCTCCTCCCTCTCCCGCTTGTTGCGCTCGACCTGGCGCTCCTTGACCAGCCGCAGCCGCTCGATCTCGTCGTCCAGGGCCTTGGCGTCGCGCCCCCGCGCCCGGTTCACCTTGTCCCGCGACAGAAAGCCTCTCACTCAATTCCTTCCCGTGGGGTGCCCTTCGCAGGACACGGGCTTCCTTTGGCTGGCAACAATCCTTGCCCTCGGTCACGCCGCTACTTGCTTCCGAGGGGGCAATTACGTTCCCATACGTTCCCATCGGCAAGCGACAATCCTTACCTTGCCCGACAGCCACTTGCTTGCGCGGGCGTGCATTTGAACGACGCGCCTCCTCTTGCCTCGCAACAATCCTTACCTTGTCTCGCAGCTGCATGGTCGCCGCGTGCCGCTCCTCATCCTCCCTCCGCTTCCTCTCTGCTCGCTCCCGCTCCAGCGCCGCCCGCGCCTGCTCCGTCCCGTCTTCGTTGACCACGGCCTTCACGGCGCGCCGCTTTATGTCGTTTATCTCCTCCCGGCGCCGGCGCTCCAGCTCCTCCCGCTCCCACTTGTTGTGCTCCACCTCCCTCTCCTTCTCCGCCCTCAGCATCTCGGTCTCCTGGTCCAGCGCCTTGGCGTCCCGCCCCCGCGCCCGCCTGACCTTCTCCTTGAGCGCCCGCGTGCCGGCGGCCCTGGCCTCATCATCTCTCCGCTTCTTCTCCGCCTTCTCCCTCTCAAGGGCCGCCCGCGCCTCCGCGGTCTCGTCCTCGTTGCTCACGGCCTTCGTCGCGCGGCTCTTCATCCTCCTGATCTCACCCCACCTCCTCTTCTCCATCTCCTCCCTCTCCCGTACATTCATCTTCACTTCCCTCTCCTTCTCCGCCCGCAGCCGCTCTATCTCCCAGTCGAGCGCTTTTTCATCCCTACCGCTGGACGCCCGCTCCTTGAGCCGCCTCAGCTCGGACGCCCGGGCCTTGTTCTCCGCCTCTTTCTGCCACTTCCTCTCCTCGATCTCCCGCTGCTTCCTCACCCGCTGTGCCTCGACGTCGTCGTCCAGCGCCTTGGCGTCCCTTCCGGCGGACACTCCGGTCAATTTCCTCAAATCCGCGACCCTCCGCCTGTGCTCGGCCTCCTTCCGTCGCCGCTTCTCCTCGAGCTCCGCCTGCTTCTGCTGCCTCTGCCACTCCGTCTCGTCGTCCAGCGCCTTCATGTCCCTCCCGCTGGATGCCCTCTCCTTGAGCCGCTTCAGCTCCGCCACGCGCTGCCGCTGGACCTGCTTGTCCGCACGCTGCTTCTCCGCCCTCTCCGCCTCCTTCTGCAGCCTGAGGTCGTTCGTCGACGCCCCGAGCGCCTTGGTGTCCCTGGCCACCGCCGACTTCTTCATGTGGCGCAGCTCCCGGGCTCTTCGCCGGGAATCCTCCTCCTCGGCTCTCAACCGATCCTCGCGCTCTCGCGCAAGCTCGCGTCTCCTCTCCAGGACGCTCATGGTTTCTCCTGCCGACGAAAGCTCGTCGCGCCTATCGGCTGGGGAGTCTTCGCCGGTTTCCGTCTGCAGAGTTTTCGGGTTCCGCAGGTCCACCCACCCGGGGGGGGGGCGACGAGCAGGGGCCCGTGGGAGGCTACGTAACTAGCGCCGGGACGGGGTGCCCTGGGACGCAACGACATGGGCCGCCGATGAGCGGACATGAGCAGTTGGTTGACATGACGGCAGTTCCTGGGGGGCACCCCCACAGGGGTCGCGTTTTTTTATTCCATGGCGGATGGGCCGCAGAGGGCTGCGACCTGTTGTGCGTGTGCGCCCCTCGGTCAGGATGCTACAGTCATGCACTGAGTACTATGTACTCTAGTACTACAGTACTATGTACTCTACTTAGTATGTACACTAAGCACATTCACCCCTTGGGTCAGTTGCGGGGGGCCGCCGTGACGTTTGGCGGGCGCTGGATTCGGGGAGAGTCACGCGGCCGCGTCACGCTCGGTGGGTGAGATTTGTTGCACGGGGAATGCCAAAGACTGTACAATGTTTGCTCACATGTGGGGCCGTGGTCGGCCGCCAGCGGAGGGACGCTGTCCGACTGCTTGAGTCCAGCAGAGACACGTGACATGACCAGTGCGTCGGCTTGCACTGCGCCTGGAAGGGTGTTCGTTCGTTGGTGTACAGGGCAAGAGAAACGGGTCGTCCCGGCACATGAAAACAGTAACAATATTTGGGGCCCAAATTTGGTGGCCCAGGGGCCCATGCGCAATTGTACAGCCTTCGTTGCCCCATCTCCAGATGAAGTTCCCAACCCGCGCCCCATCCCCTCCCTGTGCTTGTACTTTGCGATGCACAAATCAGCTGTTAGAAGGGGCTCATCATACTGCATTTGGAGTGCAGGGTACAGTGCAGTGGGAGCAAGGGCGTTGCATGCGTGTGCACGCAAGCACAGTGCACGGTGGACAGTCAGCGGCGCAACATTGCACAGCAAGCTGTAGGCAACGCACTAGGCACCGTACAGTGAACAGCGCGCCTCTGCACTTTGTGAAGGTGGGCTTCGCAAAACGGTCGGTTGCAATGCAGGCGCGCGGCCATCCACGAATTGTGGAAAAAGCGCATAGTCGCTGCAGGCATCAAATAATCAAGCAATTACGTAAGCTTACGTGATAACGTCCTGGTCTAGCGGCGCAGATGTGCCTCAAGGGACAATGGGGCGTCAGAAACCCTACCCCAGTGGGCAGAATGACTGACAGTGGAGTTGTTATGGGATAGCACACGGACTTCACCCCATGCTTTGAATGCCATTTCAAAAATTGCATTTAAAGTACGAATAAAGTGCGTGTGCTAACCCCATCTGAATTGGAGATTTCTGGAAATAAAACTGTGGTTTGAATGCAATGTGGGCGTTATTGGGAAGTAAAATGGACTTGAAACCACCTTGGGGCCCGTACGCCAGACCTGGGAATAAGCAGCTCAAACCGGATTGCAGAAACTTGGCAGCACCTTTTGATTTTAAGACAGAAACGTCACTGTAAACACAGCGTTCAATTTCCGAAATGGGTGCATCAACGTGTGCAGTACGTTCGGATTTTCGCTGCAGAATGTAAGTGTGGGGAGTGCATTCAGATTTGCAGAAGGTAACGTGGTCGTGTTTTGGATGTTGTGTAACACTGGCGATGTTTTGACCTGTGGAATAAGCGGTATAAGGCTGACTATATGTACCACTTGCTTCTAACGTTTTCCCCAGAAGAAACATCAACAGTTGATGTTGGGGCCGGAAACAACGTAATTTGAGAAACGCGTTGAATTATGCTCCAGGTCTGGCGGGATGAGTGTCACCGCCCTCAAAATGAGTGCGCGCAACTCAGTATCTTACCAGCCGACGATCCTGAGCTGACAGGGATAACGCGATGACGTCATCTGCGGTGACCAGTCCACTGGGCACCGCATGTGGCCACACAGCGACAGCCGGTATGCACCGGACGCCGTCATATGTACTCTGGTGATGAGATGAGTATGTGGCTACGGGCACGCCCTGTAAATCGTCCACGGAGTGGCAGTGCACAACAGGGAAGCGTATCAACAGTCTGCTTTGCAACTCATCAGTGTTATTAAAGTTAGGAGGAAAGAGTACAAGGTTTTGGAGGTGCTGGCCAGCACCCATGGGTGATGTGGGGCGCGTGGAGTGCTGCCACAGCATCCGCCATCAACTACAGCTTTTGGCGTCAATGTCCCAGGTGTCCACACCACCCGCGCAGGACCGTCCGCGTCCCCACACCTCCCCTTAACTTTCCGCTGCCTGTACCGCAATTCTGACCTCAGCAAGCCCACTCACGCTCACTCAACGGCGAATTTGCCGCAGCGCCCGTTTTAGAATGCCGCAAACGCCACGCGGTGCAGCAAATTTCTATGCCGTCATCACTCATTCTGACGTAACGAGGCAATGCGGCAGCCGACAGATATGTCGCCCGAGCAAAGCGGTGTCTGATCAGTTCACTGAAATTCCTGCCGTCTCAACAGAGACAAACCACCTTCCCGCACTGCTTCTCCGCGTTGAAGTACCCCACGCCCCGCTTGTCCGCCGTCCGCCTCAGCGCAAAGGCCTGCCTGCCCACGCACCCCGTGTTCGTGTTAACCAACAGGGCCTCCCCGTCCCCGCCCAACCTCACGCTGTACCACAGCCTCCAGCAGGCGCCAATCCTCACCACGCCGTCGGGCTCCACAGCCTTCACCCTGAGGATGCGCGTCTCGACGCTGGAGTCGGCGCAGAAGCACTTGGGCCCCACCCGCAGGCACCTGTGCTCCTCCACGACGCTGACCCGGCCGTTGGCATTGATCGCCATGTACATCTCGCGCCGTATGTCGTTGTCCGCGTCGTTGGACCAGTCGCCTACCAGTCGCTGGTAGGCGTCGGCGGCTACCAGGTCGGGGTCGGGCTGGCTGAGGCAGCAGCCCATGGAGCCGGACGGGCGGTCCCTGCGCACAACGGGGGAGGCGTGCTCTCACTTGGCTCAGCTACCTGGCTGGACAATGGACAATGAACTTTTGTTGATTGTTCAGGGGGGGGGCGCACAACGCGATGATGCATGTCCTGTTTCTCTGCCTAACAACGCCCGCGTCAAAAGTTCTCTGAGCGGCTGCGCAACAGCGCTGGTGGCCTTGCCCGCACCGTGGCGCGTGGTCTCTGCGCGACAACCGTGAGGCGTGCTCTCAGCATGCTCAACTGCGGCCACGGCCATGGCCACAACCATAGCCACGACGAACTAGCCGGTTCATTGTTGAGGGAGGGTGCATGCGGTGATGCGCAGCGTGCTTCTCTACCCTGCGACACCTGCGTCGAAGCGCTTTCTGGCTGCGGAGCAATGGCGCAGCTGCGGCAGCCCTCCCCGCACTGCGACGTGCGGAATCGGATCAGGGGACCGGTGGATACGAGGCTCTCTGCGGATGGCTGTGCGGACGGGCAGGCGGGGTGGAACAGCATCAATCTGGAGCAAGGACCACGCAACATGGACACAAACGCACCTCTTCTCGACCGCCTGAAAAGGCCGACGCGGAGGCCTTCCCACGATGGAATTCGAGCGTGGAGGAGTGGCGGCGGTGAGAGAGAAAAGTGCTGCCGCGCGCGTGCAAGTTGAACCTGTGCGCGACGACCGGGGCGCAGGTCAAACCGCTTGACCGCCGACTCCGCTGCGTTGGCGAGCGGCGAATGCGCCGCGCGAAGGAGCGGGCGTCCTGTTCGGAACCGAGAAAGCAGAGCAAGCTGCTGCAGGGCAGCGTCTTATTGCCCGCACAGTGATTATGCAGCAAGTGTGATTGATTGACGAAGTCGGAGGTATCAGCGTCACCCTGAAGGCGCCACGAAACCACCACGCAATGAGGCGAAGCGCGCGGCCAGCTGTTGTCGCGTGACGCGTACGTGGCGGTTACGCATAATGAGCCAGGTTGCGTTAAGATTTGTTATAAGCGAAAAAGAAAAAAAAGGCCATCCAAAGGGCACCCCCTCCTAGGCATATGGGAGACTCCATTCAATGCCGAGATGCAGAGGATGATGTAGATGATGAAGGATGATGTAGAGCCTGTGGTGTGAAAGCCAGGTTTACGGTAGGCCTGGAGATGGGGAAGGGGAATTCGATGGTGACTCTTGGGTGACTCAGCTGGCACTGCGTCCGGGGCTCAGAGCATGGCGACCTTCGGGCGTGGGGTCTGAAGAAGATGGCGCTCGGCAGCCGAGTCCCCCCCCCCCATGGCTCCGGTTTGAGCCACATGTGGCGGCGCCTTTGGGAGACGTGAGGAACCGCAGTGCACTTCGGTTTCTCACACTCTCAGCCACGACTGGTGGTAGGATTTTTGTTACGGGGCATTTGATGCTTTCCTCGCTCATCACTTGACTGAGACCGAAAAGGTGAGCTGGCTTTAGGGTGAATGCACCCAAGATGAACATTTGGTTGTGTGCATGTCTGGACATTGGTTTCCAGGGTATGCGTGGACATGGTTTCTATGCTGTCGCTGCGTGCGGCCCGCGTTGGCCTTGTCAGTAGAAGAAGAAGGGCTTCTCAAGGAGAAAATGTGCGGACTAATACATTCTCCCTTGTAACGGCACATCATTACATTTCCGCCGCCTTCTCACTTTGTTGAACAAAAGCAATTCAACGAACCGCACCTCCTCTGCACGTTGAAGAACGGCGCCCACCGCTTCTCCGCCGCCCGCCTCAGCTCAGAGTCCAGCTTGCCCACGCACCACGTGTTCGAGTGCACCAGCAGGGCCTCCCCGTCCCTGCTCAGCTTCAAGCTGGACCACATGCTCCAGCATGCCCCCATCTTCACCACAGTGTCCGGCTCCACCGCCTTCACCGTGAGGATCTGCGTCCCAAAGTTCAAGTCGTCGTAGAAGCACTTGGGTCCAACCTGGCAGCACTTGTGCTCCTCCACAACACCTACCCGCGCATTGGGATTGATTTCCATGTGCATCTCGTGCTGTATGTCGTTGTCGGCGTCGCTAGACCAGTCGCCCACCAGGCGCTGGCAAGCGTCGGAAGCGACCAGGTCGGGGAAGGGCGTGGTGAGGAAGCAGCCCATGGCGCCGGGAGGGCGGTGCATGGTATGCCTGGAGATAGGGTAGGAGAATTCAATGGTGGCTCTTGTGTGACTCAGCTTGCACTGCGTCCGGTGCTGAGCACAGCCACAACGTAAGCAGTGGCGCCAGTGACCTTGGGGCCTGGTGCCGGAGGAGGATGGCGCTGGGCTCCCACGGTTCCGGTGAGAACCGCATTTGGCAGGGCCGCCCTTTGGAAGACATGAGGAGCTGCACTCCGCTTCGTTTTCTCACCCTCCCACCCACAGTTTGTGATAGGATTGTCATGTTGGGGTATTTGATATGTTTCTCGCTCGTTGCTTTCCTGGGACCGAAAAGGCATAACTCACTTTGGGGTGAATGCACCCAAGATGAGCAGCCAGTTGTGGCATGTTTGTGCATTGTATTCCAGTGTGTGCATGAACATGGTTTCTGTGTTTGTCGCTGTGTGCGCAAAAAGCTGAAAAGGCAATTGTAAGCGCATCTTCAGCGTGTGGCCCAGGTGGGAAGATCGCTGGACTAAACGTAACTACTGCCTGCAGGCACTTTAGCTCGGGGGCCAATTGCATTTGCTTGGGCGCCACTGGCATGCTGCTGCCAAGTATGGAAATTTCCGGACCCATAACTTTGAGAAGAAGAATGGCAACAGTGCTGACAGCAGTCGTACTGCTGCAGTGTTTCACCATCAGGTTTTCTGGTGTTGCCACTGTGAGATTCTGTGCAGCGAAAGTCGCATTTCTTCTGCAGCAGAAACGGCAATATTGTCACTGAGCATTTTGCTTCTCAAGGTTTGCGCATAACAGTAATAACCGCAAGGGCCAGGGGGTCATTGTGCAGTCAATTGCGACGCCCAAATACCTAGCAACGCGGCTAATGAATGCCCATTCAACTCATCAGGGATGCAGGTCCCTTTAGCTGGGAAGTTGACTAGTCACTGGACCATTTGATCATTGGTCAACGAGGTGAAAGGGCGCAGCCGTTTCAGGGCGGGATTGTTCGCTACAGATGAACCATTGGTGATTCACGGAATTTCACAGTCGCTGCATTTTACACAACCAGACTTGCAAAACTAAAGCATCGTCCTAACAGCTCTTGGCTGTTTTCATATTCATTTATCATGATTTTCAATTGGGGTAGAAGTGCGCAGGTGGCCAGGCATGGACGTATGGACAAGCGTTTTAAAAAGGAAGCCTGCTTTCCATCAACACAGCCCTAATCAATGCTGAAAGTTTCGAACCCTGTTCAAATATATACAGAAAGGAAAATTGTGTGCCAGCACATTGGCAGTTCCCAAGCTGGTGTGAGCTATGAATCCTCGACAGCGCTGCCCAAACGGAGACAGCGTTCGAAATTTCGGTCCAGCGGCCACTGCAGAATTCAAAAGAATCGAATCGCCGAATAGAACAATGCACAACAACACTCCTCCAAACAATGTGCTACTATTTCAGCATGCAAGGAACGCCAGCGAAAGGACATGCGCCCAACGTTGTGTTGAACACGATCGTCACGCCATGAACTGCGATCTTCAGAGTCGCTCAAAGTCAAGTTCGCACCGCCGTCTGAGCTTCACAGCTTCCGGGTGAGCTGGGACAGCAGGGATTGGCACTCGCCGTAGTAGCCTGATCCAAACAGATTGTAATGGTTGAGGTAGTGATACAGGAGGTAGATTTTCTTTCGCTCCTCGAATCCAGGCGATCTTGGGATGATGTCGTGGTAAGCCTTCCAGAAGGCGGCCGAGAACCCTGCAGCAGTTGCAAATACAGTACCGGGCAAATGGGCTACCGCCTTTGTGACTAACGTGCTGAGCCAATCGCACATCTGCCAGCAGCAGTCTTTGCAAGCGCTTGTGGCAGAAATGCACAATTCAAATACGACAATGAATCCCAAATGATGAATACCACAACGCGGTGTAGACTGTGTGATTCGATCCTGTGTAACACGATTTACACTGCAAGTACATGGTCATAAATAACTGCAATACAAATTGGCAAAACAGCAGTGACAGTTGACATAAATGCTAAATAACCAGGCAACTGCACACCATACTCAATTAAATAATGCACTGCTCATGTCTACATTTTGCAGCAGATAATTGATGCACATACGACGGTGCCTGTGTGTCTGACCACCTGCACCGTGCCTTTGAGGTGGCACCTCCGCATCTGAACTGCAAATGGCTAACGATGACGGCCATCATGTTGATGCCCCTGAATATTCAAGAACATTTTGGAGTATGAAGTCAAATATTCCACTGGTTTCCCTATTAATGGCTGAAAGACATCACCAGAGGAAGCCCCCTTTCTCGGCAATGCATACAATACACGAGATCTATACATGCCACGTGGCATGTGGCGCACAGTGCCAATTGTGCGTGCAATACATGCAGCGTGGTGCTCCCATCCCACCTGCACACCAAGACATCCCGAATTCCGCCTCATGGTGGCCATAATACACGGCAGGGTCGAAGATGGAGGGCTCCCCATCCACCGCCGCGATGTTGCCACTCCATAGGTCACCATGCAGCACGCTGGGTTTCACAGACACGCCATCGAAAAAAGTTTCCAGACTTGCCATGAGCCGCTCACCCATCTGCATCAGGCGTCCATCTCCTGGGCAGCAGCAAGCACGTCTGTCAGGCATGCTGCCATCGTTCAAATTCAACCCGAATTGTGAGTTGTTGTGAAGCTTGTTCAAATGTTCCAGAGTGGGAGCTGCAGTTCCAAGATGTCTTCAGCATGGCCATGTGCCTGGGCTGTTCTCCAACTGCAAGGGAGGCGCGAAGGGTGGTGGGGGATTGTGGGGGGGAATGGCACCTCCATGGGCTTAATTGGTCATATATTTCATGATGGCAAGGGTCACAAATGCATGAACACCAATGTTCTTGCCTGTGAAAGGCGACGACAGGGACATGAATGCACAGGCATATCCATTACAGAAACTAGTTAATCAATTAGCAGTTGTACCCGATTGTAGTCCGACTTTGCTGAAAGTGGCCACCCAAGAGCAGATAGAAGTTGTGCTATGCGTGACTCTTTGGCAATGCCACCTGCCAGCTCCAATTGGTGCCTGAGCCTCCTCTCCCTGAAGAAGTCCACCCAGTTGTCCATCCAGCCATTGGGCTGGGGAGTGCCACCAATGGTATTGTCCACAGGAAATCCGAACAGCCCCTTGCGCGCCTTGTCATCCTGACTTTCCACAACAAAGGCAACGCCAGCACATTCAGGGCAATGACAGCACATTCAAGGCAATGACAGCACATTCAAGGCAATGCACAGCAAATTAGGGCAAGCAAATATACAGCAACAATCATGTCACATTATCTATGGTATGTTATTTTGATCACCCTGCACAGTCATGTGAGGCGTCAGCAAGCATTTCTCCCCTCAGGAAAGACACAGAGCCTGCACTCCTGGACAAGTTCAAATCCGTAAAGATATTGGAAACCTCGAGTATGAACAAATGAAACCACCAAAGAATACATCTGGATCAATGGTAGTAAAGAACAACGCCAGACATTTAGCTACCTGTGGCTCAGCTAGATGCATCTGGGCAAGTCGCCTGCCCAGCTCCTCGTGGCTGGCCCGGCCCGAAAAGTTTAGGTGCTCCATGACGATAAAGGATCCACCATTGGCAGGAAGCACCCCAAAATGGTACACCTTGGGGATGCGCATGGTGTGGGTGTCTGAAACACGCATCACAGCACTGCAAGTCAAGATAGAAATATTTCTGTTCATCTCCAAACACTTCAAAACACTTTAGCAGTATCTTGCTCATCCAACTCTCTTTTTGCTGAAGGCCCCAAAGGTGCAGGCAGGTCAATTATCAATGGCGCACTGGGCAGCTGACACTGTTTTAAACACTGAACCTATTTTTCAAGTCTATGTCTGTTTTTATGTAGTTGACCTGCCATGCTAGCCATCAAAGCTGACATAATAGAATCAAGGCAATGGGAGACTGAAAGACAAAATGCAGGGCTGCATTCACAACCTCAAAGGGAAACAGAGGGCCTAAACAAGCAGCCTGCAGCCAGGCCGTTTATTGCCTGCCTTGGCTGTATTGCTCGGCAGTTGACTTTTGACTATTTCATGTCTATCTCTTTGGCTGTTGTGTGCTACTTTCTTTCAACTTGAGGGTGTTCTTGTGCTGAACAAATGGCACACCCTTCATTGTTCTCCAGGCACAGGCCCAGTGCCTTGTTGTGCACCCACCGTGCAATCCAAGAGGAAACAGTTAATAGTAATAGGGAATCTGCTGGAAACCACTTTCCACAGCAACAGAAGTTTGCCCATGTTTCTGCTAAGCAATTAACGGCACTGTTCACAACCTTGCTTCCTCAATTAGGTTAGGTTGAAGGCTGTGCAATCTGGGGCACATCTGGCTCATCCAGCTCACCGTACATAGCCTGAAGCCCCAGAGCCTCCCCTTTGAACATGCCCTCGTCACTGCCCCTTGAAGTCTTCACAAACAATTTGACACCACTGTCTGTCTCATAGATGTATTGTGAAGACCACCCCGACGATCCCACAAGGCTGGACTTCACCACAGGGCCCATGTCCAAATTGTCCTCTATCCATCTCTCAGCAGTGCCTCCCGACCTAAACGAGACGTATCCAGAAAAGGAGAGATTGGCACTGGTCAGAAATACCACAATGGCTCAAATCCCATCTTCTAGCATTTTGTTAAGGTTTCGTCAACAGGATTTCCGTCACAAGTCCTCTTCCCCCTTGAAAACTCACAGGTGGTGCAGAGGAGGGCCACTGTAAGTCAGCCGATCAAAATGTTGTGCCAGTTTGCTACCGGCAACTCTCTACGATTGAAATGTCTCTGCGCAGTTGGCCACGTGAGATCATCCCGCAACAGCTTGCTAAAAGGCGCTGTCCCCCGCATCCATCCTAAAGACACCTTTAGACACTTGCCACCACCGTGGAGCCATGGCTTTTGCCAGTACTGACACCCCACGCAGCCTGGGAAACGACCGGGCTGCTCTGCTGTTCCCGCATTCCGTACGTAGCAGCAGGATGTCAACTCCGCATCGTCAATGTGCCACACAGCAGTTCGCAATCAGGCACGTCCGCCCCACTCCCCCCCTCCCCCAACAACACTTGTGAAGACCCGCGACCTTATCGCGGCAAACGACAACTCACCAAACCAGCCGATTGCCACTCCAAGTGCAAATGCCCATTGACATGGCTACCCATGTCCGCGCCCACTGAGGCTGCCCGAGGCCCCACGTACGCACCGTTTGCACGCGACGCACACCGCAACAAGCGGAGCCAAGCCGACAACAAGTCCAAGAATCAAAAAAGTGAAGGACGCTGGAGAGTCAGAGCACTCACGCCGCCTGCACCGCCGACCCCCTCCTGCCCCCCGCGGCCCTGCCGGGCCAACGGGTCTGCCTGATCACGTCGGCCCCACCCGGCGCACGTTCGCCCCTCGAGGACGCCGCCAGCGGCGGCAGGTTGGCCGCGGAGGCGGGCCTCGACGCGCGGCCTCCGTCGGGCACCATGGCGCTCGACCCCTCCTTGGTGGGGAGGGCTGCGCCTCGCTTTTGGACCCAACACTAAGACAAGGCGACCAACAAGTACATAGAATCTGGTGATGCCATGTTTGGGATAAGCCTCATCCTGTGCTGGCGCTAGCCCACCCTGAAAAAGAAATGCTTGATCTTCTTTTTCCAGAAAGAATGTCGATAGAGAAAGTGGAGGCTCCACTCCACTGTGGAGCATCTTGCCCAAGCGTACATTAGCAGAGCGCCTTGGTGCTGATGATATTTCTGTGCCCGAGCCACAATACCGGGACAATTTTCTCTGGCGATGAATGTATGTACACAGTTTCCTGCCTAGATACATGCTGTGCAATATCATTGCCGAGCTGATGCCAAAGGCATTTTGGAAGGCATACTGAATGTTTTGTTGATGTTCGTTTTTTAAGGTTCGAAGATATCGCCCTCTATTCCCTTCTTTGTCTCTATTCACGTACTACCTCCATTCCAATAGTCGTGTCCGCATCCAATCTTGCTGTAGCTTTGCAACATCAATTCAATCAGTCAAATTGTCATCAGATTCGAATTCCTTGGCTTATTTTAAGTTCATATGGATCTTGGGGACCGGCCCCAAGCTGTAGTATTGTAGTACACTAATCGCCTATCAGGTGCACGGGCTGTGTTTTGTCACTTTGTGACAAATGTAATCCATGGATTTCGACGATGATGGATCTTGGTCGCAGCCATAAAACACCACATTCGAGCCTAATCAAAAATGACCTGTACAGTTCAATACAAAACACAAATTTCCCGAATTGTTGCGTTGGCCTTATTCCGTTATGTTCCAACCTACTTCCCCAAATTCATGGATATCTTTGCTGTAGACAACAAATAGGCACAGTTACACAATTCCAAGAGTTTCACTACCATTTCTATCACACTTTTTGTAGATCGTGCTTTTAGTATGCTGAATCATGTTTTTGAAATTCTTTTTTCACTCAGTGTCCATGTTTGCATCAATTTAATCCGTTTTTTATTTGCATTGGTATTTATGGCTTTTCAAACATTGCAACGCCCACTAGGTACATGCTCTTGCACCAATCGAGGTGTCTCTTGGCCTTTGAGCGCAGCTTTCATTTTGTTCTTGTTGCCACCCCAAATGCTGTTGTAAGGTACACATTTCATGGGATTTATTTAGTTGAAATATTATGGTATAGATGTATGCGTATATGTTAGAGGCAAGGTACGGCGCAGGGCGAGAACGTGGGACGAATGTGGTACGGTGACAGAAAGGGTGATAGAAAGCGTGAAGGTGGAATGACAGACTAGAACCAATGCGGTGACACCGCCTGGCGCATGTGCCAAGCTGCACGCAGATACAAAAGCGCGAGAGGCAATGCGCCTCTTTGTAACACATGATGTGATGCTTTTCCTCTCTCGCCTTCCACGGACCGCTGCGCCCCCCTCGGCCGGAGGGGCACCGTCGGGACCCAACATGTGTGACCGGACCGCGTTACGCGAGTACTCTGATTGGTAAGGGGACCTGTCGCCGCGAGGTGCCCCTTCCCTGCCCCCGTACCCCGCCCCGCTCAACCGCGTTGCGCGGCGGGAGCCCGCGATTGGCGCTGCGAACTGGTGAGGAGCGAGACCGCCGGTTGCAGTTGCACTGAGCTCCAATCCCTTTCCTCATAGATATTATTGGAAACTGACACTAGTAGAGAACAGCATGCCTGCGATGCCATTTTCACACAAATTGATGCCATCACAGCCACCTTATATATAAGGTGCCATATATATGCCATCGCAATCACTGTGATGGCATCATTTTGTGTCAAAATGGCATCGCAGTTGGCATCACAAACATGGCGTTTTCTACCAGTGTGAGCCGCATCTTTTAGGGCTGACCAGACTACCAGAGCATACATCTCTCCTAGCAATGGCTCAACTCGATCCAGTGGATCGGATCCACCCGTTTCGAGGGGCAAGAGAAGTTCGCCATGCCCCGCCTAAGGTCCCGACAAAGCGAAAAGCCGCGTCTGGTTTCCTCTTCGCATGTTGCCAGAATATTCTTGCAACATTAATGACGGAGCCATTTAAATGGCTGCAAATTTGCCACGTTGAGGGGCTCTGCAGCACTAGCATGAAAACGTAGCAAACAGAACCTTCTGGGAACACACGTATGTGCATTTCATCAGCGTTCGGCATGCTGAAAGCACGGAAATAACCCAAACCGCAAAATTCGTGCACGTTTGAACACGCGCTATTCACTAGGAAAAAAAGGGCCAAATAGCACGTGTTCAAACGTGTACAAAGTTTACGGGTTTGTGTTATTTTTGTGTTCTTAGCGTGTAAAACTATGATGAAATGTGTTTTATGTGTGTTTCGCAAAAGTGTTATTTGGCCCTTTTTTCCTAGTGATTTGGCTCTTTTCTTCCTAGTGAGGAGTGCAGATATCCATCGGTGGAGCCAGCAGAGCGGCATCGAGCGAGCTATTTCGATGCAGCCCCGCCATCCCCTTGTTTAGTACTTTACAGTCCTCCCCTTCCTTGTTTTGAATTTACAAGTCTTCCCAATTACCCCAGTCGATCTAACAAAATGCAACCTGTTTCAGCTGTCATTGGTTGTAGAAAAATCTGCCCCACCCCTCACGTCGCAATTCCGTCATGCTGTCAGTTGCTCATCGAAAGGATTAGGATCCGGGATACCCACAAAGCCCTGTGGTCAAAGATTTCCGAGTTTCCACCACACCCTCGAAGCTATGCATTCACTGCACCTTCCAAAACAGCGCAAACTTCTTATCTCGAAGTAAAACTACCGGTCAGGTCCCAATGCAGACTCACTCTGCCCACCTCTTTGTCAGTCTGAGAGTTTCTCTTGCCTCCCAACGTGCCAAACTGTTCCATTTCAGGGAGCAACACTGGCCATGTGAGTTATTGAGATCCACACTATTCTGTCGCGCGTGGCATTTCGCGATCAAGGCCAAGGCATGCGCAAGTGCGGCACACTGGCGCCTCGCGACTGCAGCCGCCACCTTGGTCGCAAAACCGCCGCTTTCCGTCTTTCTACCAGCATTGACGCCGACGGATAGCGCGCCGCCTGCAAGGGGCCACCGCTTTATTTGCTCTAAATATTGCCTCCTTAGGACCATCAAATTCGAAATTGCATAGTGTCTGCCTCCCCAAGCGCGCGCATTCTTGAAGACAGATGATACCCCGATCCACATTGCTTTGGAAATGGAAATGCAAAGGAGAACCCAGCATCGATCTCTCCAGGATTTAACGACCGCGCTCTGCACACGCCCCGGCATGTGGTTCAGGGGCATGTTCTGTTGCCCGCCAGCACGGCCGCCGCCTTGGTCACCAGCAGGTCCTCGTTCATTTTCTCGACGCGGATGGCGGGAGGCGAATCGCCTTCCGTCAGCAGCGCAATTTCGATGACGCCGGCGAAGCCGGGGGGAAGCGTGACCATGGCCGACCATGCCGCATTTTTCACCCCTGCTATCCTCTGCACCCTCGACACTCGGCCCGTCTGCAGCGCCTCTGGAACAAAAATAACATTCACATATTGCATGATTCGCTTTCAGTGGGCGCATCCTGTACAGAGGCTCATTGCAAAAGTTACGCAACTCCCGCGATTTCTGAAAATCAGGATGAAGACAGCCATAGATGCTACCGGTTTCCCTACGAATTTGACCAGCGTGTGTATTCTGCGGTAGTTATTGTCTTGGAAATAGATCTTCTGCAAAACCTTTGTGTATAATGAGGAAATACCGATAAAATTCGACGCTTTTGCCAAAGAAAACGTTCGTGGGAGGAAAACTGAAACAGCGATGCAACGTAACGTCACGTTGCAAAAGCCTGATGAAATCTGCGTGGCGATTACATTTTACCGAGTTTCCAGGAGAATGGATGAAGTGCTTATTCCTCTCCCTTGCTGTTCAGCTCATTTTTGCGTATTCACGACTGCGCTTGGGGGGAGAGATTCGCACCACCTTTTGTGTACATCCATTTTGTCGTGCCTAATGCTGGTTTATCGGGGTTTTACAGAGCTGTTTTACTGAGCTCTCAGTGCAGTTTTTCATGCTTACAAACTTTTAACAATTTGGGCTCTAAATTGTACGTTCAGGCAGAGAGTGCACATGTGCAAAAGACAGTGGACTGGAATTCAGTGCGCATCAAGGATAATGGTCCGGAAACACAAATGGGCCTTGTGATGCGATAGACGCATAAAGATCCTTTCATTTGGAAAAGCTGCAAGCATTGGCAGACTGCCAATGACAGCGCTATGTATTCCAGTGGATTTCGAATTTCAGGCATTCAGGCTCGTTCCATTGCACTCAGGCGTGCTCAATGCAATTTATATTACTAATCCTGGCAGACCAGTGTAATAATGTTCAAATAACAAGCATCATATGGATGTCTCACAATGCCGCAGAAAAAATATTACTGTTTCTGATCAATTTTTCCCCAATTTCACTGATGGCACCAGAATTTCTCAAGATAAATTATTACAGAAACAGATCTGATGCTCGATGGACGCATGTTTAGTTTTGGTTCTAATTACATTTTTGCTTTCTGTTTTTTCTATTTTAGCATTGAAATAAGGACTGAAAAACGCACCCTCTCTCCCGTCCGTATCCTCGTCGCTGGTTGCATCATCGTCGTCGTTCGATGAGTCATCCATGACCATCCGATTCTCTTCGTTGTCTGTTGCAGCAAACACCACAACGAAAAATTCTTTTCAAATGTTTTGCTTTATGTTTACTCGATTTTTACTGAATTTGTTTCGATTTCTCTATTTTTTCTCATTCTAAAACTTGAGAGCTCCACGTTGATGTCAAATTTTGGTGGCACGGCGAAATGCCAGCAACTGTGTCGTTTTCCGTGCTACTAAATTATCAGTGCTAGCACCTGATATTGTAGACTCGGCTTATTGGGTTTTGGACATTCCAGGAGAGGTGCCCGTCAATTGACCAAATTTTCCCACGAATTTCTCTCCCAATTTACGTCATGTATAGGCGCACG